ATTCTTTTTTAAAATATTTTTTTAGTTGTTGATGGATCTTTATTTTATTTATTTATATGTGGTGCTGAGAATCAAACCCAGTGCCTCACACATGCTAGGCAAGCGCTCTACCACTGAGCCACAACCCCAGCCCCAGAATCATAATTCTTTTTTTTTTTAAAGAGAATTTTTAATATTTATTTTTTAGTTTTTGGCAGACACAACATCTTTGTTTGTATGTGGTGCTGAGGATCGAACCCGGGCCGCACGCATGCTAGGCGAGCACGCTACCGCTTGAGCCACATTCCCAGCCCAGAATCATAATTCTTAAAGTGTTTATTTTCTCAGTCTCTTTTTCCACCCCCCTTTAAATTTTCAATCCCATTATATGGCATGTCTTTAACATGATTGCTCAATGTTTGTTTGTTTGTTTGTTTTTTAATACCTTTATTTTTATGTGTTGTTAAGGATGGAACCCAGTGCCTCACATGTGATAGGCAAGCTCTCTACCACTGAGCCACAACTTCAGCTCACTCAATGTTTTTAATACATATTCTGAGAAATGATGAATAGTAGGAAATGAATATGATTAAAGAGCCTGTGAATACTATGAGGCATCTATATCTACTACCACTACAAACAATTCAAGTGCAAGTTCTGCAAAGTATAGGAAATGTGGTGAGGAGAACACAAAGAGAAATGTGTTTGTTCATGGACTAAAAACTAATCATACATCTTTTTTTTTTTTAAATTACTTTTTCCCAAATATCAAGATCAGGTGCTGTTCATACAATTTTGAAATTCTAACAATTCCAAAATGGAAAAACAAAAATTTGTAATTTTGTAGTTATTGTATTTCTGTAAAGTTGACCTACTTAATTCCAAACTTTTGGCAAAGGTACAGTCTACACTTGATTCCAAACTTTTGGCAAAGGTACTGTCTACATAAGACCTCAGTGTGCTAAGCTATGGTTACCAACCTTGAGCTCATTTGTTGTTATGTGACTACAAAGCACACTGTCCACTTTAACATGGTTAGTCTCACAAATACAGTTGGAATTTGCATTCACAATCTGTTTCATGCTTATTAAAACATGCTTAAAATTAAAGAAAATGATTCAAACATGAGAAAAACTAACAAGAATAATAATGTATTTCTCCACCCACACACACACACACACACACACACACACACACACACACACAAATCTTGAACTATTTCTACATTTGCAAGTAAAGTCCACATTTAACAGAGTAAAATATTTGGACTCAATTAAGCTAAGCATGATGTCATTTTTTTCTTGGCATTAATGTATCCGAATTTACTTTCTTCTATTTTCTATTCATCACAATTTCTGTTGAGCTATAAATGGTCATTTAGCAGCTCTATTCAAAGTGCTCCACAACTTAAATCAGTCACACACTTGAATGGAGCACAAGTCTGACATTAATATTTCTAAAATTACTCTGTATGACATTCTGAGAATCGTTTGTAGGTGGCCGAAACTTCTACAATGTACACAAACACACAAGAATAAGTCAAACTCTGTTTTTAGGATTCCATAGTTCGTTTCCATTTTATTTCACATTCAAGTTCTTTCCTGAAATCATTTTAGAAGCTTTGTTTCTGCAATATTTTAGAGGTTCAAGCCCTGTGATAGCTATGCAATTCTTTTTCCAGCACACAAATTTAGTATTTGATAAAGGCAAGTGACAATTACTAAACTATGTCCTATTTTAGAGTTTTTGAAAAATAAAAAATTACCATAGAACAATACCTATTAAATTTGGCTTAAGATTAGAAATTATGTGAGTCAACCTTTAAGAATAGGTGTACAGTCCCCAAATTTTACTGATGAACAAACTGAGGGTTTCTTAATTGATGGGCTAATTGATAGGTCCACTTGCTAGAAGCAAAATTGAAACTAGAAGTCAGGCTCCACCACAAGCCCAACATCCTCAATGAACCACACAGCAAACAGCAGTTTGGGTAATTACTTCTGTTCCCCAAGCATCAAAACAAATGCACAAAATAGGAAAGAAACATGGCTATTAGTTGGTTATTTTATAAACAAGGTGTTTAAAACTTAAATTAGTACATGTAAAGAGTTGGCACAAACAGATGAAGACTCATTTTCACAGCAGCAGTAGCATCTGCACAACATACCCCCTTAGCCACTGCCCTCAGCCCTTCCCCCCTCCAAGAGAGGTAGTGCTGCTGGCTGCAGATTTCTTCAGCTCTATTTTCATAGACTGAGTCTCAGCTCGAGGCTCGAATTTGGTCAGATTTCCTGCTCCTGGGGCTGCCACTACTGGCTTTCCTGCTTTCATACCTTTTGACATAGGAATGCGGGTAGGTGTAGGCCGCTGGGATGACCCATCTTGTCCTGACTGTAAGAGAAAGCAGAAGGGAGATGTGAGTTTCCCCTGAACATGCCATCAATTTGAACGTCACAGGACTCTTGACACACAGAAACACCCACAGATGACAACCCTTCCCCAGAAAAAAAAAAAAAAAAAAAGGAGTTTAAGAAACTTGGAATTGGTATCTAATTTGCTCTGGTTATGTCCTTTTTTCCTCTCTAGAAACATCTATGTTGAATATTCTTCTCTTTTTAAGTACTACCCTACCTCCTCTATCCTTACTGAAGATGGTCTTAATGTCCATTTCATGGCAAAAATATGGGCCTCCAGGTATAAACTCAGGCAATTTTACTCTTACTGTTACACAAATTATCTCCATTCTCCCTTCTTCCCTACATTGCAGATGAAGCAGCTTTCCTCTCACTCCTTATGACTTCAGGTGCCTGTCATTTTTTATTGTCATTGCTGACCTTAAAATCCTAACACTCTCTTGTTTGGATTTTGTATGTGAATCTCACCAGTTCATCTCCTGTCTCTGATGATTTCTTTTCGATCTCTTGCTGGCTCCTTGTTCTACCTTGTCTGCCTTCTAAATATGAGTGTCATCATGTCCTATTCTCAGCCATTTCTCAGTTTTACACTCACTCTCAGAATCCCCTTAGTTTGACCCAGTATGTCCAAGCACTAGAACCTCAAGCCTTCAATTCTCTCTTGAAATGCAGATCTGTATTTCCAGCTACTTACTGGAAATTTACAGCATCCCCCAGGCATCTAAAAATAACATGTCTCAAACATTGCTTATCCTCTTCTTCAAAGAGTTAGTCTCCCTATGCTGCTCATCCAAGACATCCAGACAACCAAACCAGAAACCTCAGAGCCACCCTCTATACTCAATTTGTCATGAAATCTTTTCAATTCTATCTTCAGTATATCTCTGTCCTCATTTTCACTACCGAAGTTCAAGTCATCTCTTGCCTAGAGAATTGCAGTAGCATTGTCTTTAGCAGCCATCCCCTCCAATTTATCCTTTAAATAGTTTTCTAGACAAGTCTTTCTCAAACAAAAATAATGTAATGTTTTTCATGATCATAACCCTTTCAATGGCTCCCCTTTGCCACTCCATGAAATGAAATATCAATTTCATAAAACATGTCTGTGCCTTCAATATCTGACCCAAGTGTACTTTTCCATTTTCTGCACTTGGATTTTCTCTATGCTCCCAGCACAGTGGGATGCTCAATATTTCCCAAAAAATGCCAGGCTGCTTCACATCATAATGCCTTTGCACATACTGTTCTGCCTTCATATTCCTATTCTTTTCCTTCTTGAAAATCCCACCTTATCTGTGAAGACTTCTCTGGTCGGTCCTTTGGGTATACCTGTTTCAGAACCACTGGGTAAGTTCCAGTCCTGCCTCTCCCACTCAGTCAAGTACTTCTAAAGTCCTCTTCACATGCCAACACCTAATTCCATGGCCAAAGTATAGCTGACACTCAACAAATGTGGAATGAACAAGTGCACACATGAACTAGCCTGATGACATTCTCAAAGGGGTGTCCTAAACCTTTTGTTGTCCTTGCTCTAATAGGATCTGGTATACCTACAATTCAGACCTTTAGAAATCTTAGGCAACTATTTTGAAATCCTATTTATGTATTGGGTTTAATAGGTGGTCCAAAATGTTGCTACAGAAGGTAAGGCTATCCTGATAGGATACTCAAAATAGGAATAAGATGTTACAACAGAAAATCTACTCCAAATTACAATAATTTACATCCCCACAACGTTTTTATAAAATGCAACAGAAAGAAGAAAGACCCTACATAACCAAACTATACTCTGTGTTGCCTAAAAAGCAGTCCTAAATCATTTGAGAAGGGCAAATAATTTTGAATGTTATTTGGCTTCTGTAGAGCCAGTAATGAAAAGCTTTACTGGCAAAGCAATTAGTAATTCACACTTTGAAGTCTGTCTTGAGTCTGAATTTTGGCAAAGAGAATTAATGTAAATTATATTGAGCATTTAGGGAAATAAGCCACAGTTTCTATATTTAAATCATGACTTTCCTGTCTTTAAGAGATTTCAATATATGCTATAGAATTTGTTCAAAATTCAGAGCCTAAAGATCATAATTTCTAGTCTATTAGCTTAAATTAATATCTAAATAATTAATCTCTTCTATAAGAATCTTGTCCCCAATAAATAAATACAATCACTGGAAGTATTTTGAAAAATATAACTTCTTTTTAAGCCCTAGTGTTTGCACTTTGAACATTTTTTAAAATAATCATTCCTGCTAGTTATCAAATAAATATGTATAAAGTGCCTGCTCTCTGCAAGATACAATTAAATAAAGGGTAGTTCTTTTTTTAAATAATTAAACACCAAATTTTAATTATTTTTCAAAATATGTATCTGTTTTCTACTATAAAGAAAAAAAGGTAATTCTTAATCATATAAAAATCACTTTTTTTCCTTTAAAATATTTTTATATCAAAATCTTTTAATCTTATTTTGGGAATAAAGCATGGCTATGACCATACACAATCACATATAGTATATTTTAGGTTTTAGAAATATAACCTAGGAACTGTTTTAGTTCTTCTTGAATATTGACTGTTTCCTCCTGTCATCGTTTTAAAAAGTATTTTAAACATAAAAATCAAATTTTAAACCTCAGGATTACCCTGTGCTGCCATTTCAAAGAGCCCATCTTTGCAAGTATTTGAAGTGTCTCCACAATTTACATGAATAAATGAAAATTTCCCTCAAAATTGGCCCAATTTATCAAAATATTAGATTGCTTAATTTTCATCTATCAGTGTAGATGGTGCTATAGGAAACATCAGTGAGTGGGTTCCAATGGAGGGGGAGGTACACGGCTTTGATTTATTGTGGGTGCTTAGTTAATCTCACTCCTTACTTCTCCATCCTCCTCTGGCCAGGGCTTTGGAACCTCTTATACTCACCACTGACTGGGTTCCTCGAGTGGATGAAGTTGTGACTGGTGTTATGGTGATGGTGCTCGTCACTTTGCTCGCACCAGGTCGTGAAGAGAGATGGTTCCTGGGAGAGCGAAGGACAGTGCCAGTGGAAATCTCCTTTTCAGCTGTCACGTTGACTGGCCGAACAGTAATAACTGGACTAGCTCCTTCAGCTGAAGTCCCAGGGGATCGTTTAAACTGGGAACCTAAGTGAATGTGAATCTTATTGTCTTCCGTGGTTATGATATTGGCATTGGAATTGTATTTTCGTACTGGAGGTGGAACAGTCTGTTTTTCGGGGGTGACTTTGAGGATAGTCCTTCCCATGGGCATTTCCTGGGATTCTGGAGAAACTGCAATTTCGGCTGGCGCTGCAGAAGTAGACACTGTCATTATCTGAATGGGGGACGTGGGCCTGTCTGCAAACGTGCCTCTTCCACTTTCTGGGGTTTTCTCTCTGGAAAACGTAGTAATTGTGACTGGGGACATGGCTCGTTCTGGGCCAAGAGTAGGTTCTGCACTTTTTGTTTTTTGAGACATAACATTTGGTGATGGAATAATGGTTATCCTTGGTTTCTGATTCCCTAATGTAGGAATGACGGTGGTACTAGAAAAAAATTCTTCAGATGTGGGGCTGGTTATCTCCAAAGTGGCAGTACTGTTCTCGTGGTCTGGTGTCACTCGGATATGCAAGGGCTGGCCCTGCTTTGGTGAAAGAACTAGTTCTCCTGGGTGCCCGGAACTGGAATTTGTTCGAGGCCCTTTCTCCTGCGTGATTGATGGGCCGTTTTCCCTTTTTCTCATCCACGGAATCCACGACTTTCTCATAGTGAGCTCATTTGCTGCTGGAGGATACCTGTCTAGGACAGAGGATCGTTCCATGGGCTTTTTCAGTCCTACCTGTCGAAGATTGCTCATGATGTGATTTTCTTCTTGGAAGGATTTTCGTATGAATACGGCCGGCGTTTCTTCCTCGGCTGCCTCGCTGCCCACGGCCTCTGTCTGCACCCCGGTGGATGTCACAGGCACATCCACCATTCTTCTCCCATTCACGCTGGGTCTGAGGGCACGGCTGTACCGCTTAGAAAGCTCCAACTCTTTGGTCAGATTGAGGACCTCCTGCCCCATGTTTTTGTTCTTATTTTCTTCTTCCATAAATCTTTGTTGAAGGACTGAATAATCTACTTGGAGCTGAGAAAGCTGATCTTCTTTGTTCATTAACTCGTGAATTTTCTCTTTGAGAGCTTGTACCTCGGCTTTTAAATCTCTACTCTTAGCCTCTTCCAATCGAAATCGGTGTCTCAGCTCAGCTTCCTGGCTCACAGCCTCCCCTTTCTCTATTGCTTTGTTCTTGGCAATTTGGTGCTTGATCTCCTCTAACTGCTGAGAGAGGAAGTTAGCTTTATCCTGCTCAGTTCTGAATTTCTGCTCCAACTGATCATACTCATCCTCTGTCTTCATCAAATCCCCTTCCACTACTTCCAACTGTTGGAGACGCTTCTTCAGCCTCTCAATTTCAAGGGTTAGTTCCTTAATCTTATTATCTTCTGGGCAGGTGAGGTCAGGTCCTTTTCGAGACCTTCCTCTTGTTATTTCTCTTTCCACTTCTTCCATACCATCAAGTCTCTTCTTTAACAAATCAACGCTGCAGCTTAATTCAGAGGATTTTTCTTCTTCACTTTTCAGTTTACCTATTAACTCATCTCTCTCCTTTGTCAAAGTGTACACCTTTTCCTCCATTTCAGATTTCAGTTTTAAAAGTTTCTTACTTTCTTCGATTAATTTTTCAGTTACATCCATAACTTTGCCTTGTTCCACCTTAAAATTTTTATTGAGTCCATCCACTTTTCTCTCTTCTTGCTTTATTTTTTCCATCATATTTTTCCTTTCATCAACCAGCATCACTGTAAATGACTTCAGCTTTGTGAGATCATCTTTGAGGCTCAATTCTGCCTTTTCCAGTCTACTTTCAGAACACTCAAGTTCTTTAACTCGACTTTTAACTACCTCCAATTCATTTAGCAGGTCTTTAGTTAAATTCTTTTCTTTCTCCAGATTTAAGTGTAGCTGGGAGCATTCAGATTTACTTTTGCTAAATGCTTCTTCCAGTTTCTCTAGTTCAGACATTCTCTTCTGTAACTTCTCAACTTCAAGTTTGAGCTCCTTACTATGGTGTTCTTCCTCTTGCAGTTTCTTCCTCAGTTCCCTGCACTGGGATTCAGTTTTCGTGATCTCTTCATCTTTACCCTCCATTTCCAGCACACGCTTTCGGAGATTTTCCACTTCTGCCATGAGGCTGGAGTTTCCACATTCCCCTTTGGCAATTTTATCTCTCAATTCCTGAAGTTCTTCCTCTGCCTTTTGAAGATTTTTATTGGTCTCTTCTAGTTCCTCAATTCTTTGAGATAAGCCAACCAGCTTCAGTCTAAGTTGCCTGTTGTGAGACTCTTGGTTAGCCAATTTAGCATTCATCTCTTCATGCTCTTGAGAAAACCTAGAAGCCTTGTGTTCAAAGTCCACTTCTAACTTGAGCAGTTTCTGTCTGTCTTCTTTGGATTTGGAAGTAATGGCTTTGAGCTTTTCTTCTTCTTCCCTCAGTTTCTGAGTAAGATCCTGTACCTTCTGGCTTTGCAGGCCAAGTTGTTCAATGTGCATTTGTCTTTCATCCACCAGCATGAGTGCAAAGGACTTGAGTTTGACAAGCTCATCTCTTAGTTTATTGAGACGCTTAGCATTTTCCTTTTCTTTGCGGGCTTGGTAAGCCTTTTCTTGTTCAAGGAGCTTTTTCAACCTAGAAAACAAAATATATCTATATATTAAAAGATTAATCAACAAATAGATTTATCTTAGTTATTAAATAAAAAACAAAATATTACCACAATAAATCCCTTATAAACAGCTGTAATATCAACTACAAACAGCCATTAATGAAACTGATTAGAAAAATCAGGAGACTGGTTACCTTTAGAGAGGGTAGTAACTCAAAAGGGGCCTGAGTTTGTTTCATTATTTACACGCTGGTTATAGAGGATTGTTCAGTTTATGAAATTTCATAAGCTAAACACTTAAAGAATACCTTTCCACATGAATTTTTTAATAACTATTAAGTAAAATAAAAGTTGTGCAATAATAATGACTATTATATGTATTATATGCCTTCTGTATTCTAGACAGTAATATCTACTTTATTCTCACAACTCTGTGAGATGTGTGTTGCTATCATCATCCTCAGGAGGAAAATGAGCCATGGGATTATCCATATATCACACAGTTAGTCAGCAACAGTGCTGGGATACCAACTCAGCCAGTAGGGCTCCAGAATCCTTACTTATCTCTGCATCATTCAACTCCAAGAGAAAATTTTACTTAAGTGAAAGAGAAAATCCAGAAAAGAAGAACTTTTGGGTTTTCTTTTTTAAACCCTTAAAATAAATTATGCAGCTATCTATGTGATAGGGACAAAGCAAGACAGACCATCTGACACACACAAAAAATGATCTACATAAGTTGATTTTAGTTGACATCAGAACTGGCAAACGATTTGGTCTCAGTTTTCTGATTTAAACAAATTTTCTTAATAAAGAACTAGGTCAAGAGGAAAACTGAATCACTCAGTACAAAAATGTGGTAGTTGTAGGAATCGTTATGTTTCATATGTATGAAATGCATTTTCTCTGTATGTATGTAAATAGCTTTAAAAACAAGGAATATATGAATGCCAGAGAAACTATTTACCATTCTTGTGTTGGTCATTTAACGTGTATCAGTTTTTTTTTTTTTTTTTGTACCAGGGAATGAACCCAGTGGGGCTTAACCACTAAGATAGATCCCCAGCCATTTTTATATTTTATTTTGAGACAGGCTGTCAGTTGCTTAGGGCCTCACTAAATTGCTAGGCTGGCTTTACGATCCTCCTGTTTCAACCTCCCAAGATGCTGGGATTACAGGTGTGTGCCGCTACACCGGGCTTGTATCAGTTTTTTTTTTGTTTTTTTTTTTAATTTTTTAATATTTATTTTTTAGTTTTCGGTGGACACATCATCTTTATTTTTATGTGGTGCTGAGGATTGAACCCAGCGCCCTGCGCATGCCAGGTGAGCACACTACTGCTTGAGCCACATCCCCAGCCCTTGTATCAGTTTTTAATAGTTTTCTTTATATACCCACAGAAACATCTCTACCAGCCAATGGTGGCTCATACCTTTAATTCCAGTGGCTCTGGAGGTTCACTGAGGCCAGAGAATTTCGAGTGCAAAACCAGCCTCAGCAATTTAGCAAGGCCCTAAACAGCTTAGCAAGACCCTGTCTCAAAATAAAAAAGTTTTAAAAAGGGTTGGAGATGTGGCTCAGTGGTTAAGCACCTTGGAGATATATATATATATATATATAAATTATAATATATATATTATATTTTATATATCATATATTAGTGTAAGAATGCATCTTAGTACTTAATGTTTATAAGTTATAAACAACCACTAATCTGTATCTATTAGTTTTACATATATTTTATTCTTTCAATGTACTTCACACCTTTATTATTTGAATTGATTCATTCCACACTTATGACTATATTAACCATTAGTCAAGTAAATATTATTTATCTCACATTGCATTATGTAAGAAATGATTGGATATAGCTATAGATGATATTTATAATTAGAGCCATTTCCAGATAATTACCATAGAAATGATTCTGATGATATCATTAAGATTTTTTTATAGAATTTGTTTTATAGAACATACGCTGTAGCTAAACATCTCTTAATTAAACACAGCTTCCAAAAATCATTATGACTTCTTCTCTAAAATGAAAGGGAAAGATAATTTTCAAATCCCATAAACTCACATAAACAATACTGTAATAGCTTAATTAAGTGTTGTTCTTACATATGTTAAAGAGAACTTTATTAATCATCTTATTACATGGAGGAATAGAATGACTTAAATATTATAGAAACCATAAAATTGGTTAGTAATAAGGCTGAATGAGGTGAAAGCAAAATGAGGAAGATGAGAAAAAGGGAGCTGACATTTTCAGGTGGCATTGGGGGCTACTGACAAGAAAATCTGTCCCCGGGGAACAGATTTTTCAGGTCCTAGAGAATTTCTAGTCTTACTATTATTCAAGAGGCTCTTAAAAGCTCATTCGGAACTCTAATTTTGGCTAATACTTAATTCTAAATAAATAAATAAATAAAGGATAAAAAGAAATTTCCCTATATGATATGTTAAGTCACTTATTATTTCACTTATTTTTCACAATAATCCTTTAAACAAGGCAATACTGTACCATTTTGTAATAAGGGATATCATTGGATTTAATTAAAGGAACATGGCTATGAAGAGCAGATTGGGATTTTGTATCATTCCCTGGTACAAAAAAAAAAAAAAAAAACCTGTGTATTTGAACAAATATTGTTTGTTCCTAACAATGCTATTCCTCAAATAGATATGTTTGCTAGACAGTTCACATCTACAATACTTAGGTTAACTTCATCTTCCATGGTTCAATCTATCTTAGATTTGTCAAGATCCCCTTTGGACTCTTTTCATACAACATTTCAGCTTATTCCTAGCATTGTGTCACTGGTCAAATGACCCCAATCATTAATAACAAGACAGGTCAATGCACAGAGCCCTCAAAACACTCTCAAGATCTCCCTCCTGCTGACATCAATCCATTCAGTAGCATGGATGAAGTCATTCAATTAGCTGTTGAGCCCACTGGACTATTCATTCTTTATTTCTTCAGAGCTCCCAATCTTCCCTTGTGAACCTGTTCTAACTACATCTTCCTCATGGCAATCAAATACAACCAGTCCTTCCTGTTACTTATGTTCTGAATTCAAAGTCATTGTTGAGCCCTTTATTTCTTTCACATCCCTATATTCAGTTTCTCAACAAATTATGTCAACTCTATCATCAAATTACATCCCCAAATCATTTACTTCTCACCTCCTCCATTCCTATCACCCTGGCCCAAGCCACCATTGCTAAAGCCCCCTAATCTGACTCCCAGCTTCTACTCCTGCCCTTCAGTGTTTTATCTTCCCAAAAGCCTGGATGATCCTAAAGTGAAAGAAAAAGTTGGGGGGGCGCAAATCAGATCATATCAATCTACTTAGAAATGGAAAGAGAAACAGGCAAATGGATATAAAAAACATGCAGAATTGGATCAATATTTTAATGATATTAAACACACACACACACACAAAAGAGCTATTAACATGCTTCCTCTTAATTTAAAGCTCTTTGGTTTTTCTTTTAGCCACAGTTCAGTTAATAAAGAAAAAACTGATAGTATGCCAATATTAATAAATGAAAAAGTAATTATACAATACTACAAAATAATGGATGTAGATACTGCTCATCAATGTCTTTGAAAAGGAGACCTCCAGACATTATATACATATGTACCCATCTCCACCCATAAAATATTCTTGCCAAAAAAATTAGACCCGATCATATCAAGCTGTAACTAATTAGCTGTAACTAATTACTAGATTAGTTATAGTAATTAGTAATTAGTAATTAGCTGTTACTAATTATTAGATTATAGGAAAGAGAGGGTCAAGAAACTGCTAAATGACATCACCATTATGTATCAGAAAACTACAAAATGTGGACAACTGCATATCATGAACAACCTAGTTTCTTCAATAAATACATTGCAGGATGAACATAGAGCAGGGCTAAGGATCTATATATTAGAAATTTAGAAGACATATCAACCAATTATCTTTTGGATTCTTATGCACACTTTTTAAAATGATACAATTGGAAAATGGATGTTGTTAAGGAATTATTATTAAATTTTAGGTTTGATAATGAATTGTAACAATATTTTAATGTCTTTTAGAAATACATATTGAAATATTTGCGAATCAAATGATTTATCTGGGATTTATATCAAAGTAATCCAAGGGAATGGGAATAGATGAAATTAGACTGACCATGAGTTCATTACTAAAGCTAAGTATTTGCCTGAAAATCATTTATTTCTCTTTATGATAGGAGATGTTGTTATTGAGTCGTTTATTTCTCTTTGTGATAGTTCATTACACTTTTCTATCTTTGTAAATGTTTGAAAATTTCCACAATGAAAAATCTTTAATCCCCTTTTGGAATCTTTAACTTTCTTCTCTCCCCCAAGTCTCAGCTCCTTTGGTCTCTGGCCACATTACTACTTTTCTTACAGTGTTGTGTAACTCTCAAGTTTGTCTGTGATTGTTAGTGATTCTTTCATTCCTTCCCATGTTTACAAAATTAACTTTGTGGAGACTCTTACTTTTTCTTCCTTATTGGAATCCATTTGATGCTTAATCAAATTTATGTTAGAGAAAATATCCTTACTATGTTCTGTTCTACAGATACTTGTTAATATCTCTTTCCTTTTAAAAGTCTAAGGTCAAACTTTTGGGTGGAAGAAAGAGGAAGTGAGAGTTTTTTAACCTTATCCGAATGTTGCATTTTTTGGATGACCACCATACTTGGAACAGTTGTCTATCTGTGTTCCTTAAGTTTCAGGGATGCACACCTTCCTCTAGTCATACCCACTTCTCTTCCTTGGAAAGCAATTGGTGGAAGATTTTATGAATCTTTCTCCCTAACATTCTTGACACTTCCACTTTTTAATCATTTCTCCACATTTGTCAGCATTAGTCCCAGAAAAGCAATTGTGTCTTTGCTTCCTCAATATGTTGTCATTTGTCACCATCCTAATCCATCAGACCCCGTTTTGATATACTGATGTCATTGAAAAGTCATCCTAGGCTACTTCTCAGCCAG